CAGCAACAACGCTTTATTGGTTCCGCTATCGGGACGGAACCAATAATGGAGAGCTGTTATTTATTTTTTTATAAAAAGAAAAAAAAATTGTCAATTTTAACATTTTATTTAGATTACAAAAATAATTTATAATAAAAATAATCCTATTTATGATGTTTTAAAAATTAAGACCAACGAAAGACTGATTTAAGACATTTTAATAACAATAAAGGCCTTAATTTTATTTTGAAGGATTCAATGCCTTTTAAGACTTTTTAAGGACCTGCGGGAACCCTGTCAAAGCTGACCCCCCACCCTCACAGTCCTCCCCATCAAAACTCTCCACCTGTCTGGAGGAGATAAAGGTACGGATGGAGCTAAACTTTCTTCAACTCAATAGCTCCAAAACTGAAGGCCTCATCAAACCAAATCATCCATAACCAGCATCACTTTTTCTGCTACTAGCATCTCGCTCTCATCAACCGTTAGTAGGAATGGACTCACAACTCACTTTTGAAGCCCACATGAATCTTTTATGCGAGAACTCTTTCCACCACCTCCATAACATCTCCAAACTCCGTCCCATTCTCTCCCTCCCAGACGATGAGAAGCTGCTTCCAGTCTTTGTCTCCTCCAGACTGGACTATTGCTTCTTCTCATTGGGATCCAGAAAGCGTCTGCAGAGGCTTCAGTGATCCAGAACTCTGCAGCTGGATCCTGATGAGAGAACAGAAACATGAGCACATCACCGCCGCTCTCCATTCTACACTGGATTCCCATCTCCACCAGGACTGTATACAAGGTTTCCCTGCTCACACATCAATGCATCCATGGACATGCCCCCCCCCCCAAAAAAAAAGAACTTATCAACCACCCGCTCCCTTCGCTCCACTCACTCAAACCTCCTTTACATTCCCAGAACCAGACTCAGGACAGTCGGAGATAGAGCATTTCGTGCTGCTGCCCCACATCTGTGGATCCCCCCCCCCACCCGGCGCCCTGAGGGCTCCTCAATCCACCCAGTGTTTTAAAACAGGCCTAAAAAAATTTCTCTTTAGCAAAACTTTTGGTCCCCTTTACATGTTTTTTTCTCTCTTTTTAAAACAGCTTTTATTATTATTATTATTTTTATGCATTTCTTTTTTAATGCTTTTCTTTTTTTGTAATACTTTAAGGTCTTTTTGATGAAAAGTGCAGTATAAATCAAATGTATTATTATTATAAACCACAAGCAAACCTTTTCATACATAAAATAAGTTTTTATAACATTTTTCATCACTGAACAACTGAAACCTGAAAGTTCAGTTCAATAATTTTACAAAGAAATCAAAAAGCAGTTTTACATCTAATTGATCAGGAAAGCATTTCTTCTTTCTTTACTACAGTGGCAGTGGTTAGACAGTGTACTGCCCCCTGTGGTTCTGGAGAGTACTGCACCAACATCAGCATCAAGTATTAATGCCTACAGTCCTTGTTTGGGCCCCTGTGTGCCGCTGAGGAAGAGGAGGGGCCGTCTGCTGTGGCTCCACCTCTGGCAGAACATCTGAGGGTCCAGCTGGGGCAGCCAGACTTGCAGAGAACAGTTCGGGTCCAGGCTGCGGGGTTTCCCAAGCTGAGAGTCTGTGAAGGTCTAACCTGAAAGGACATTTCCATCATCTACATAAATGATCCATGGAAGTTTGGCAGTGATGAAGTAAGCAGGCCCAGGGTTCGGTCCACGGGATCTCCTCCAGTGTTTCAGGCTGTCAGACCATAAATGTTAGGTTGCTAAGCAGCAGCACTGATCCAAGGAACAGAACCAGCCTTAATGATCTGGCTCTGATAACTAGCTGAACCAGGGCCGGTTACTCCTCCTCAGACGTTCCAGAGGAGGAGGTGATGCTAGCTGGTTATATCCTCCTTCTGCTCCAGAGTTCCAGGCCTTGGCTTCTCTACGTCCACCTTTTCACACATCTGCAGAACTTTCTGGTTGAAGTCATCAGGCTGGTCAGCATAAACATAGTGTCCAGCTCCCCGGATGGTCTGCAGAAACCAGAGGGACCCAGTCAGAAAGCAGAGGACACCCTGTCACCAAGATGGGGACAGTCATGAAACACCCAGCAACCCAAACGGTCCTTGGAGAACCACATGCATTAGAAATGAATAATGGTTCCTCTGAATGACCAAAGGTCCTTCAGAGAGAGCTGAGAAAAAAGCCGTCGGTTTACTTTCCTACCATCACCTATGGTCATTAATCTGGATCAGGACCCAGAGAACCAGATCCTGGATCAAAGCTTCCTCTGCAGGGAGGCTGGGCTCTCCCTCTGAGAGAGGGTAAGGAGCTGGGCCATCAGGGGGAGGGATCAGAGTAGAGCTGCTTCTCCTCCAGAGGAGTCAGCTGAGGAGGATCAGACATCTTCACCAGATGGATGCCTCCCTCTGAGAGGTTCCATGGATGTCCGCCCTGGAGGAGGACCAGGAGCAGGACCAGGACACGACTGAGGGACCATGTCTCCCTGCATGACTGGGAGGAGCAGGGGGAGAAGTCTGGATAGAGGGGAGTCTGGAGTCTGGTCCTAAAGCAGGGCCCTCAAACCCTGGTCCTAAAGCAGGGCCCTCAAACCCTGGTCCTAAAGCAGGGCCCTCAAACCCTGGTCCTAAAGCAGGGCCCTCAAACCCTG